CACACACACACACACACACACACACACACACACACACACACACACACACACACACACATACATACAGTATATTGTAATGATACATGATGTAAGATGTGAACATTTGTCTCTTTTCACCAAGTCAAATGAGTAAGTGTCACTAAAGAGCTGCATTAGCATTCGACACAGTTCAGTTTGTTTGTTGAAGCCACAGAAATGAAAAAGAAACACAGTCGTTTGACTCTGAATGGGATTATCAGCTTTTTACCGTGCAGTGCTTTTCATAGGAGCTGTGAATAAATTAAATATGTCCAGCCCTTCCTGGCGTTCGCCGCTCAAACGGGAGGCCTTTGAAAGGAACAGGAAGGCCCAGCCATATAATTCCATGTGATTCTGTGTCACTCCCACGGCTCTCTGAATTTGGACGCTTCTGGTGGGGAAACCTCTTCCTAATCCACAAGTTGATGTTTTTTTTCTCTCTCTCTCCTTTTCCAGAGGAGGGATGAATCGGAGGCAGAGAATCAGACATCCGGTGTGTTTATCTGGAGGAGAGAGATAAGTGCGGATGCCTCCTCTGTCAGGGGAGGCACATTAACCATGCCTCCGAGGGAGCGCATGTTATGGTGAGAGGTGGTGGAGGGGAGGAGGAGGAGGAGGCGCCTGTCTGCAGCGAGCACACAGCTTTCACTCACTTCAAAACCTGTGAAAATGCCCCCTCCTCCTCCTCCTCACACCTTCAGCCGAGGCGCTGCCTTGGTGGTGATAGAAATGCCTCGGTGCCCCGGCAGGGAGCCGTTGGACTGACGAACATGTTAACTTGTGTCCTGCAGTGACTCCTGACCCTGTTCCCGAAGTCTGCAGAGAATCTGCTCACACGCTCAACACCAGGCCTGCAGCTGCCCCGCACGTCCACGTGCATCCTAATACATTTAGAAGAGTTTTAATCAAGTCTGTCAGCTGGTTCAGGAGATATTTTGCTGATGTCAGCAGCCTGGATACTGCAAAGAATGACGGCCCTATGGTGGCCCAGATGTGGTCCATGGACATGAGGACGCTCAGAACAAAAGAACAAAGTTCTGATTTCAGACCTGGGTGAGTAAATGCATGTGCATCACCCTGGCATCATGACGTATCGTTTGCAACCATAACACACTAGCCTATATGCCACGGACATCCGGCCCAGCACTTGATGTCACTCCCAACACTTCTGATTCACGGTCAACACAGTGTTAGTGAAAGATTTTTTCACCCAACAACGACTCTTAATGATCTCCACAATGCATAATTAGCATATTACATGTACCAACATTAACACAGGAGACGTACAGGTCCAGCCAAGTGGAAAAAAAATCACTCCAAAGTGGATTAAAGCCATAAAAACAAAGGAAAGACGTTTTTGTTTATGGTTCTAGAATTTAGCCTTTTTTGCTATTCTGTGGCTGCTTGTTCTGTGAATTTTTCACGTAGAGCTGTGACACTTATATTGTTGGAAAGAGCAGAGTCTGGGCTTTAAATTGATGGGCTACTTGTGTGGTTTGGATCATTTCCCCCGACGTTAGTGAACTGAAAACGTAATGATTATCAGGCGGAGGTTCTGCTGCTCTCGGTGCTCGGGGTGGGGGGCGCTCGTCACTCGGCTTTAGTCTGCGCTGTAATATACACTCTAACAAGTTTTTACTTTTGCATAAAACTTATGACAAAGTTGCATAAAAACATTTCATATAACACAAACACGCACACACACCTACCTTTGTACCGGCTGCTGTGTTAGCTCCTGCTAGCTGTCCTCTGGAGGAGGTCTTTCCTCTTGTCTTGGCAGTAAAAGGGGATAAATGTACATTTCTCTTTTGTAACCTCCGTCTTCTCATTTCTGATGCTGACTCTTGAATATCTTCAGGTTAGAAATTCAGATTACAAACGCAAGTGTGAACTTTTAAAGATAAGTTTTCCCTATAACGCTATGATCCACTGCTGTCACCTCCTCATCTAAAGGAAAATGGATAAAAACTAACAACTCGATCGTACCTGCTGCTTAGTGGACACAACGGCACACAACAGAACTCACGTTTTATACCAGTAGATCACAGATGCTTCAACTTTTGTGACTTTTTCACAGACTAGTACTAGCAGCTAACGCTAAAAACATAGGCAGTAAGCAGGGAGTGGAAGGGAGGAGCGTGGCAAGAATTTTACCGGAAGTACGTCATTAATGACCGTGGCATATAGGCTATTAGCCTGGTTGAAACCAGCTCCGTGTTCTTTGTTTGCTTCATTCAGAGGGTCTGGACTATCGGTTATTGAGAAACGATATTTTTGCTGGAGGCGTAGACTCTGTTAAAGGCTAAAATAATTGTTTTGATTGATTTTTCCCAATCGCTAACCGTGACATACGTAGTGTGCCAGCTCAACAGTGAAGGCTAGGCTAAGCTAAACAGAAATTGTGTGCGCAGTAACCATCCTCTACTGAGAGAAGTGCCGAGCCGAATGAGACGGCTGTAAACGAGAGCTGCGGGCTTTGAGAAACCATTTTATTTGAATTCAGAAGCCTTGTCAACACGGACTGAATGACTTCCTTCACTTCCTCCAATGCTGTTACTAAACTACAGGCAGACAGTGCAGAAAATCAACATCATCGTTCACAACTCCTCCTTCTGTTCGCTGATTGGCCTGGTTGAAGTTCTACCTGAGAAATCCCAGACAGAGCAGAGAAGAGAGATTAGAGTGGAACTGTGTAGGAAGGGAATGGCCAGGCTATTACAGAATATCAGTGTTGTGGGTTTGGTAATCTGGAAAATCCACTCACTGCTGACAAAGTGATCGGAGCAAAGCCTTGCAGTTTCAGTAGGTCTGGTTTTCCTCTTCATATTGGTGCTCAGTGCTGAACTGTTAAGTCTGATCACCTTGATTTTTTTCTGAATCTTTGGAAATAAAGAAACTTCACTTTACAGACTTATCTGTTCTGTTCTTACACCCTTTAACCCAGGGGTCTGCAACCTGTGGCTCTGGGGCCACATGTGGCTCTTTGAAAACGTAACAGAATTTTTTTTTTTTGCTTTGTATTTATACCCACAAAAGAAGTCAATTTATATGCAAATATGTGAAAAATACTACTAATACAAAGAGTAAAACGTTAGATCATGCCTGGCCTGTTGTTTACTTAAATAATCCAACTTCTTTCTATGATTTTTTCTCTCAAATCCATCAAAATTACCTTTAAAGATTTTAAAGACTACATAATAAGAAGACTTAGAAAAAATATGTCTGAATTGTTCAGTTGTATAGTTTTTATGAAATTTGTTAAAAACTATAAACAGTATTTTTCTTGTTTACATGAATCAAGTCTTTTCATTTGTCCTGATGTGTAAAAATAACAATAAATAACAAAATTCACAATATATTTATTTGTTTTATGATGTCATCTCCACTGGCCATAAAGGTTCTTGAAAAGGCCTCGAAAAGGCCCACGGACCACCAGTTAATAATTACAGTTGTAGCTTGTTTTGTGGCTCTGGACACATTTTATCAGTGAGACAAGCAGCTTAAATGGCTCTTTTGATTGTAAAGGTTGCAGACCCCCGCTTTAACCCAACATCACACCACCATTATTGCTGCAGGTTCAGTGAGGTGGACAGTTACCTGAGCAGCAGAGCCCAGGTGTGGGCCAGTTCTGGAGTCCAGGTGTGGGCCAGTTCTGGAGTCTGGCTCTCCAGATCTGGCACTGATGGCATTGGTTTTAAGATGACATGCCACAAATGGCCCTGTTGTGGTTTGTTTTATGTGGTGTGGACCCATGCATGGACCACCTCTGGCAAAAACACATTGGGGCCACCAAAACTGTGTGGGTCAGACACATTTTGTGTGACTTCAGTATGTGTACTTGTTTTATGTGTTGGAGATAATGCTCAGCTACTACACTAAACTTTAGTGCAGTAATTGTAAAATTGTCTGGCTTATATGACCATTTTTATTTTATTTATTCAGTTAGTTTGAATTGGAATAATTCAAACTGTAACTCCAGCTAGACAGATATTTTTGAGGACTTAGTTAAACTTGTTCAGTGGTTTCTAAGATAACTTGCTAACACAGTTGACTCAATGGTTAATAACTAAGTTTAAAAGATTATTGTGACGTTTGGTAGCAGTTGGCGTGTGTGTTGTGAATGACTCTCAGCTACCACACCAACATTTAGCTAATTGAAAAACTGACCGAGTTTCAACATTTTTCTGCTTACTGAACTAGTTTTGTTGTGGCGGCCATCTTGAATTGGTAATCAGCTGAAGATGTCCATATATTTCAGAAAGTTTCATTCAAATCCTCCCATTTAGATAAAATGAGTTAATGAGATATTTTGCTGACAGACACACAAACACTCACAGAGACATGGATAAAAACATTGTCGCCTTCAGATGAGGGCGGTAACAAAACTGCAACAAATGCAACAAAAGAAACAGTTTATTTGGGTACGCATTGCCAATACAAATAAGTAGACCATAAACCTACAGCTTTCAGCTAGTTTTCTCCACAGAAATAAAAAGGTTGGATTTGTGATTAAAAAAAAAAAAAAAAAAAAAAATCCATTTGGTTCCTCTTTCTAG